ACAAATCCCCTTAATAAAAGGATTTGTTCTGTAAAACTTGGACTCAGTCAAAAGGCCTCACCTGAGCACCTAGAAGTCACATGTGGCCTCGGGGGCCACAGGTTCCCCACTCCTGTATCCTATCCCCTGATTTGTTTTTCTCTGTCCATATTAATTTGCCTGAGGTAAATTGCCTAGAAGCCAGTTGCTGATTCTTTTGCAGCTATCTTTCTTTTGGTTTACTGATGAATAAGGTTAGAACTTAGGCAGAAATTTAAAGAGAAGCTAGCATAAAAGCGAAATGAAAAAACAAAACAAAACACTAGAATTGTAAAAACAGTATACATGATGATTGCAACAATATAGTAAACAGAAACAAGAAAAACTGGAAACCTGGCAATGTATACTTATAATGACCAAGTTTGACCCTGAAAAGGAAATTGAAATTTCACTTCCCTCCCTTCCTTGCAGAAGTGGGAGACTATGGCTATGGAACCTTTTATGTCTTGTTGGATTCGGTTGATATGTTGGCTAGTTTAGAGGAACAGCTTTTTTTTTTCTTTCTTTTTTATTTTTTATAAGAGATAACTATAGGTAGGGGAAATAGTAGGACAGATATATTAGTAAATGAATGTAATGATAAAAAAAAGATATTGCTAATTTTTTAAATAAAAATTTAAAAACAAAAGATTGTCAAGAGCAAATTCCTATACCCAGCCCTGATGGCTCAGTTGCCCAAGGACCAGACTCTAATTCCCCATAGCCCCCCACAAACCAATAGGATTTTGTTAGTGAAACCTCTCTCTGAGGTGCATGGAGTATAAAAGTGTCTTTTGAACCAGTATCAATAGTCCTGGCCCAGAGCATGATACACAACTCAAAACTAGTGATACAGGGTTCAACCATTAGGTTCAGGGATCCTCAGCAAGTGGAAAATAAGGGCTCACTTTCATTTAAGTCTCCCAAAACTATTACTGAAGAAAACCCTCCACATGCTGAAGAAGGAGCTGATGTTAAAGATAATTGGCAAAAGGTAACATAACGTTACTATATTTTGTAGGTTGCATTAGTCTGTAATCGTACTGGGGTATGTGGATTTATTTATTTGTTTATTCATGTATTCTGGGCTATCATTTAGGTTTAGAGGCTATACAGCCTGGATTACAGATGTCATCATCCCAAGAACCTGTTTCTCTCATGTCAGCTCCCTCCAAGGGGCCATAAATAGTCTACCTTTTCTCTTGTTTTAAATCTTTAGCTTCCTATAGAACCATCCACTAAGTTACTATTATCGTACTTGGGGGAAAACTCTAATCTCAGCTCATTTACAGAATAGAGATGACTGGCATACCCAGAGCTAGTGAATGATCATTGATTTCCTAGCTCAGGTTACTTTCCCAAATTGTCAATCTCAAACAACTATCTCTAACCCAAAAGGAATTATCTACAGTGTAGGTGAAGTAGTGCTGCAGTTGGCCACTGTGTGGCATCTGAGAGTCAAGTACAGCTGATCAGATTATACACTCTAAGCAACTGTGTGTTGGGAAACACTGAAGATAGGGAACCCAGCCAAGGAAAGTTCAGAATTCCTCAAAGGATAGTGAAAAGATATATCCATAGTCTAGGAGAGGATAGCATAATTAGAGGGATAGTAAAGGACTAAATCAGAATGCACTCATAATTGTAGGTACAGGAGTCCAGATCAAACATCAGTGTAAATAGCAGACATTACTGGGTGGGTACACAAAGCTATATATATGAGGATCCCATGCCAAAGTAGGAGCTCCTGAGCTAAATAAGAAAGCTGATATATCAAGGTCAAAATCACTAGAATTAAATGCACTGGATAGCCTTCACAATTTGCTATCATTTATTTTCTCTCTTTTCCCTTTTAAAGCTAGTTTTGTCTAGCAAGAATTTAAATGTCCCTTTACTTGGGAGGTTCTGATAGGACATGATACATTATCTCTTTGATGACTTAATACTCATTTGTTCTCTCAAAATCCTTACAGTTTTACCAACTGACTCCAGAAATACTTGGGTTTGGTTGTATAAAAGTGCTAGTGATTCTGTCATATTACATAAACTCTGCCATTTTTGACTAACCATACACAACAGCAACAATGATGTGTCTTATTAGATATAGCAGGTTAACTTCATTATTAGTTTTATTTGCTCACAACAGGAAAGTCTCCTCACTTATACTCAAGTCTTTAGAAATGTCATTGGATCTATGAATAGTCAGGGAAGAATTCATTCATTTAACAAACCTTTCTTGTTTTCCTACTGTGTATCAAGTTCTGTGTGTGTTGGGGGTTGTAGGGTGGGGAATGGGAGAGATTTGCCACTGAGTACAAAAAAGTTTAAGATAATGTTTGGAAAACATGTACTTGTGAAGATGAAGAGATGGTGACCTAGATAGGAATACAATTAAATGGATTCGGAATTAGTTGGATAGATTCAGAGGATAGTTGTTAATGGTTTGATGTGAACATGGCCGGCATTGGTTGATCAGTCAAAAAGCACTTATTAAACACTTACAATGTGCCAAATATTGTACAAAGTATTGGAGATGGAAAAAAAAGCAAAAACAAAACCATCATCAAAGGAACTTACATTCTAATGGAGTAGACAGCATACATATATATGTGTATATATGTATATATATATATGTATATGTATGTATGTATGTGTGTGTGTGTATATATATATATATGTATGTATGTATGTATGTATGTATATATATAAAAGAGTCATATAGAGTAGCTACATGGTAACCTTAGAGAGGATGGCGCTGGTATCAAGGGGACTAGGAAATGCCTGATTCAGAAGGTAGTCCTTGAGCTGACTCTTCTAGGAAGCCAGAAGTTCTAAGAAGTAGTGGTTAGAAGGGAGTATTCCAGGCACCACAGAGATAACTAAACTCACAAGAGTGAAAGAGATCACCAAGAGAGTATAGAGAGAAATACCAGGAGCAGAGCCTTGGTATGTACCTATAATTAGAGAGCATGGCAAAGGAGACTGAGAAGTAGCAGTCATATGGGTAGGAAGAGAACAAGGAGAGAGTACTGTCATAAAAACCCAGAGGGGAGAGAGTTTCTAGGGAGAAGAGAGGGATGGAGAAAAGGTATAAGATAGATCCTTCTTAATTTTGGAGACACGAGTTTTATTTGAATGATGAGGTCAGAGGCCAGATGGAAGAAGGTGTAAAAGAAGATGGCATGCTCATCATATTTGTAGATTACGCTAAGCTTGGAAGGATAGCTAACATAATGGAATATGGTTGGGATCCAAAAGGATTTTTTTATTTGGCTAGGCAGTGGGGTTAAGTGACTTGCCCAAGGTCACACAGCTAGTAAGTGTTACGTGTCTGAGGCTGGATTTGAACTCAGATCCTCCTAACTCCAGGGCCGATGCTCTATCCACTGCACCACCTAGCTGCCCCTCCAAAAGGATCTTGACAGACAATAGACTGAAATTAAAAAGGAAAAATTCAGTAGGGATGAGATAATCCTGGCTAGATTGAAGTTTGTCTGAAAAAGATCTGAAGATTTAAGTGGACTTCTTGCTCAGTAAGAATCAGTAGAGTAGGTAAAACCATTTGCCTACATTCAGAACCATAGTTTCCAGGAGTAAAGCAATGATAGTCTCACGGTACTCTGTCTTTGTCATACCTCATCTGGAATATTGCATTAAGCTCTGGGCACTGCAAATTAAGAAGGACATTGATAAGATAGTATCCAAAGGAGAGCAACCAGTATGGTGAAAGATCTCGAGTCCATGGAATTGGGAATGTTCTAGCCTGAAGAAAACCCTCAAAAGGAACATAGTTTTCTTCAAGTAGCTGAGCTGTCATGTGGGGAAAGGATTAGACTTTTTTTGTTTGGCCATAAAGGGCAGAACCAGAAGCAGTGGGTGAAAGTGTGAAGAGATAAATTTAGGCTAGAAGTTAGGAAAAACTTCTTAATAATTAGAGCTGTGCAGAAGTGGGATAGGTTACCTCAAGAGGCTCTCCCACTTTGGAGATCTCTAAGCAGAAACCACTTGTGGGCATTCCTTTTGGGTATGGGTTGGATTAGATGGCTCTGAGTTCCCTTCTCCAATCACGAGATCTCTAGTTCTGTGATTATGTGATCCTGCTCTCAAGTAGCTTACAGTTTAATAGAGGAGGTGGCTTGTATTTAAATAGTGCCATGGATCTCTGTGGATGAATGAAAAGGCATTTATTAAGTGCTTACTATGTGCCAAGCACTATGTTAAGATTTGAGGAGAAAAATATAGAAAAGAAAAACTGTCTCTTCTCTCAAGAAACTTATATTCTAATGGGAGACAACATATATAAATGATTTCATCTGCAGGTCAGATGGAACTACCCAGTCAGGTTAGGATACAGTAGCAAAGCAGGTGGTAATGCTTATTTTCATTGATGTTATTTTCATTGATAAAGCCATATTTGTTTCTGATCTTGAACCATTTGATAATGACAAAAATTTTGGTAGGGAAGAACTTTCTTTTCTTGATCTTCAGTAGCTCTGGATGCTGAGGCAGCCTGGGCTGCAGCACCTGCAAAGGTACTTGCCAGGTCTGTGTCCTGATAAGTTCTTAAAAGTTGGATTGAACATAAACTTTTGGAAAATGGACAGCCTCAGCAATTTTGCCATGTGAAGGTACAGTAATCCAAAAAGATTGAGTTGATCTGTTCCACAAAAATGTTAGTATCTGCTGCTGACTCTGTGTATTAGGAAGGGAGACATGTTAGGGTAGTGAGTAGAGGGGTTCCATTAGGAAACTTCCACTTTTGACTTTACTGTCTTCCTCATTCTGCAGATATGAACACTTGGAAGTTTTAGCTTTTTTATTGCTAACATCTATACTAGATGGTTTGATATTAAGAAGTTAAGGGAGAAAAAAATCACATTTATACTTAGAGATCCTCTGTCAAAGAGATTGGGAACCTAGCAGCTTAGGGCTACTTCTACAGAAGAATATTCTATTCATCCATTTTTTTTCCTCCTTTGCAGAGCAAGAGAGGCATTTGCAAGCCAACAACAAAGAATTCAATGAAAAATTTGAATATGTGGTAAGTGTACACCTTATGGCAATCTGAAGTGATGGCAGGAAGACCAGGATATTAGCCTGCAGGACCCTTTACTTGGGTGACTGGGTCCTGGAAGATTAGGGGAACCATTAATCTATCAGTCAACAAGCATTATTACTACTATTTGCCAAGCACCATACTAAGTACTGGGGATACAAAGACAAATAAAACCATTCCTTCCTTCAAGGAGCTTATATTCTATGAGGGAAACAACATATGCACATATAAATGGATAAAATATTCTAAGTAAATGAAATGTAATGGGAGAGATACTGGCAACTGGGGGATCAGGAAAGGCCTCATGTAGGAAGTGGTTTTTGAACTGAACTGAACTTTGAAGGAGGCTTGTGTAGAGTTGGGAAATTCCAGGCATGAGGAGACAGCCAGCTTATCCAAAGTCACAAAGATAAGAGATGGAGGCCAGTGTGGCTGGAATATAGAGTGCATAAAAGGTAATAATTGGTAATCAGTCAGGAAAGGTATCCTGGAGTTGGATTATAGAGAGCTTTACATATCCAACAGAGAAGTTTTATTTGAGCCTAGAGATAATAAGGAGGTACTAGAACTTCTTGAGCAGAGGAGTAACAGATCAGACCTGTGCTTTAGGACTATCACTTTTGTAGCTAGGTGAAGGATGGACTGGAAAAGGGACTGACTGGAGGCAGGGAGACTTATTAAGAGGCTGTTGGCAATAGTCCAGGTGAGATATAATAAGAGCCTAAACTAGGGTAGTGGTGGTATACAAGTGAAGAGGGGAAGGATATGAAAAATATTTGGAGATAGACTTGGCAACTGATTGGATGAGGGGGTGGAGTGGATAAGTAAGAATGAAGAGTTGAGGATGATTTTGAAGTTGCAAACCTGGGTGACTGAACTGATGGTGTACTCTGAACAGAAATAGGGAAGTTAGGAAGAATCAATAAATGAATGAATGAATGAAAAGCATTTATGAAGTGCTTAATGTGTACCAAGCACTGTGCTAAGCACTGAGGATACAAATGGAAAAACGAGACAGTTGCTGCTCTTTAGGAGCATACATTCTAATTGAGAAAGACAACATATAGAGATTTACCTGTAGGGTGGATGGAAAGGTTCTCAGGGTGTATTAGCAAAGTCCAGGGGTTTTTAGGGTACATTGGAAGGTCAGATGGAAAGGCAGGCTGGTTTTCATGTTTAATCTTATCAGAGAAATTGTAGTTGATGATTCTTCTGTTCATCCAAACAATGTAACCAGCTATGTCTCCCTACAACAAGTCAGGTGGGGGGAACTGAAAGGGTCAGCCCATGACTACAGGGAAGGGAAAGGTGGACTGAAGGGTTAGAATGGAGTAGAGGCTTTGAATTCCCTCCCATGAGGATGAGGATTCAGTGGGGGAGGGAGAGTCAGTTTCTACTTGGGAAGAGGGAAAGAGATGATGGCACTGGCAAGAAGGTCAGAGGAAAAGGCTTCTCAAGGCAGCTGCTGCTGCTGGGCTCTTTGGTACCCAGTGGGATCTGGGCAGCAGGTGACTTGGGGCTGGGTGGATTTAGGCGCAGGGAGTTAATAAATTCTGTCACTCCTGTGTTTCATTTCCTCTTTGTTGTGGCTTAGAAGGTATATGCACTTCTGTGGGAGTTGGCAAGAAGAAGAGGGAGAACTGTTAGGAGGGAATCTCTGTAGGGAAAATCCATCCCTGAGGCACTGTCTCTCTTTTTTATACAAAGCATGTGTTTTGTTTTGTTTTGGTTCCTGCAGAACAATGCCATTAAGACCTCAAAATACAATTTCTTCACATTCCTGCCCATGAATCTATTTGAACAATTTCAGAGAGTAGCAAATGCATATTTCCTCTTCTTGCTGTTCCTACAGGTATTTGGTGAATGCCTTTTAAGTAGTTTGTGTTTTTTTGTTTTTGTTTTTTTCAAATAACATTTTATCAACAAGATCTTGAGAGAAAAATCAAAAGGTATCTTTCCTATTTGGGTAAGTTTAAACAGGGTGAAATTGGGAACCAGGTGATCTGCATGGGTTCAAGGACCGTTCTCTTGAACAGCTGTGATCAGGTTTGGCCAACATGAGTCTGGCCACACTTGAAGTGAATAAAGCAGAGCCTCCAGCCACTGACCAGATATCTCCAGGCCTATAAGAGCAAGAAAGTTTAGCCTCCAGGCCATAAACACATTGGGACTTAGGTGGAAGTGTTTCATTTGGGGATTTCTGAAGTTGAAAGTCCCTTTCTCCCAGTTACTTACATTTTTATGTTATCTATAAATATTTCTGGACCCCTTTTAATACACAGTTCCTCCATGTGGCCCTGCGGTATGGCCTATAGCCTAGCCTGCTAAGGCCCTGGAGCTGTTGACAGTGCCAAAGAGGCTAGGTCTAGGTAGGCACAAAATAACTGTCTAGGTGGGGGAGACAAGAGAGAGAAAAGGACAAAAAATAAAGGTTAGAGTCCTCTGCAAACCAGTGACAAATTTCCTCAGCTTTCCCCCCTAATCCTTATCAGCCCAGCAGTATACCTCAAACTGGGCCTAGACAATTGAGGTTTTTTTTTCTGTGCTCCACCTCCCTCCTCATTGTTTTTTTATCAATAAGAGGTCTTCCATGAAAGGAACTAACACTTAGCTGCCAAAACAGGAGCAGCTGAGCCCATGCAACCGTTTTAGTGGCCATCTATGATACCTTCTCTTCTTTATTCCTTGCAGTTGTATTTGTACATAATTAAGGGACTCTGTGTTGACAAGCCTAGAATCTCCATAGCTCCTAGAAGAGTATGATTTGATCCATTATCTTAAAAAGTGTCCCAGAATGTGTCCTACTCTCTCTTGCTTTCTAATACTATGTGCCCTCCCTTTTCTCTTGCAGCTCATTCCACAGATATCATCTTTGGCTTGGTATACAATGGTGGTCCCTCTGGCATTAGTTCTCTCAATGACAGGAGTGAAGGATGCCATTGATGACATGGTGAGGTGATTTATTGGGCCTTTTGCTTTCTGTTGAGCTTGCCATGTCAGATGGGGCAAGAAATACTTTTTGGAATTTCTCAGTCTGTTATAGGGGAGAAAAACTAGCTTAAGATTCAGCTACTTCCTCCTCTAGGGAAAACTTCCATTCCTAGGCTCTTGAGACCCACAGGAGCTGGGGTACTGTGCTACTCCCTGTACTGTACCTGGGCATGTAGTTTGGATTGGGTGCAGTCCTGGGGAGCCTGGCCTCTATTGAGAGGGGGCCCTCTTTTGTCACCCTCATCAGCTCATTTAAAATCGTCCACTCTAGCACCTCAGGGATGATTTTACTTGTAGCTTAGGTTATAGGGTATTGAAAAAGATACTTAGTGTACAGTATGATTCAGGTGTGAGACAGGTAATGTATTCCTACACACACAAGAAATACTAATCCTAAAAGACTCACAAGTATGTATTAACCTAACAGAATTCAGTAACTTATAACCACCATTACAGTATGCTGGGAGGCTGATATTTATGCCTTACGAAACATGAAGCAATTTGCAGAACTGCTAATTAAGTATTTTACATTTTACCTTGGCTCTGCATTGTCCAGAAAACATATACTACATGTCTGCTGCTAAAATGTGCAAGCTCAGGCTAATATTCTTGTTGGTGGCCGGCCTCTCTGGTGCAGAAGTTTCTCCTACTACCAGCCAGATACAACTTAATAGGACCCATGGGCATCCATACCTTTCAAACTCACAAGGTTGTCTACAAGCCTACTACATATGTGTATCTCATGCTGCCATTTCACTTAATATCAGGAGAGAATAAACATAAAAGAGGCAGCCATATCCAGGCTCTTGCTTGCCCAGGCATGAAATATGCTTTTGGATGGCAGTTTTCCAGCTGTGACATGTCATTTATCATGTTCTCAGCCAGCTGGAGGCCAGGGTAGGAGAATAATGGCACCTTACCCTTCTCCCCAGTCCCCCTTGGTAGGCAGCTTGAAATTGTCCTGACTTGATTTACAGCCAGAGGCAAAGACAGAGGCAAAGGGGCCAAGCAATCTCCTTTGTACATCCATTGAGTCATCATCTCTTCCAGCTCCACAGACAATAAGAGGACTCTTTATGCCCCTCAAATTGTCCTTTAGCCCTGAGTCACACATGACTGATAGCAGGCCCCCAGATTCCAAGCCCAGAACTAGGAATGTTAATTGTATGCATACTCCATGGGATGGTCCTTATAAGCCAATTCAACCCCACTATATCAGAAAGTCAGCTCACAGTCTCTTAAGACTGTGTATTTGACTGTTTACAGCCTAGCTCTAGGTAGAGAGGGACAAGGCAGTGTTATTCCTCCCCAATACTAGTATGTAATAATGACTGAGAAGAAGTGGCAACAGGCAGCAATCTGAAGACAAGAGAGAAAGGTCACCAAAGTGGCAGGAGGAAGAAGACTGCAGGCACAACAGAAAGAGAAGTAGCCTCCAAGGAGTGGAAAAAGTAGCCAAAGTTATAACCTTCGTAGCAATGAAACAGGTAGAGAGTAAAGGAGATGTCTGTGCGTGAAAGACAACCGGTTGCCTCAACAGGAACACTGTGAAAAGATAATGCCCCGAGAATTTAGTGTAGCTACAGTTGGAGACACATTGAGAGCCAGGGTATGGGTGAAGCAGCTTCATATTATTCATTAGGAACAGAGTTATTTAAGACAACGTCAGAGCTAGGCCTTATGCAGGCTTACTTAGTTATATGGAAGGCATAGTGGTTGTATTGTCATAGTAATGAATTAATAGCTCAGGAGATTGGGACAGCAGAGATCCAGGGGAGCTCCTGTACCACCAGTGGTCTAGAGGTTGTAACCTTCTTTATCCCTGTATGCAAGTGATTGTAGATACTTAGGATTTCTTTCCATAGGGTTTGGAACCCAGAATATTTTTCCTGTGTAAATATATTAGAGGCAACAGCATCCCTGGGACTCTGTCACACATGTGCTTCTTGGATCACAGAGCAAACCACCATCTGATGTGATTTTAGGCTCTACTCACTAAGTATATGTGCTCAAAAGTGTCAAATTTAGACTTTACCTACTATTACCATCTAAGGCAGTGTTGAACTAGAGAAGCAACCTGTGACAGTGTTGAAGATCTAAAGTGAATAGTGAAATGCATGGATGAATTCCCAACCACCACCCTTCAACATCTGACCCCTTTGTGCCTCCCTTTTCCTGCCTTTGACATTTTTCTCTGTATTTTGTCTGTTCCTTGTTATTCTCTCTAACTCTTGTCTTCATTTTTTCACCAGGCCTTTACATCTCCATTCGCTCTCTCCCTATCTTCTGTGCTCCCCTATTTCAACTTCTTCCAGTTTTCTTCCTTTTAGATCTTCTTCCTCCCTTCCTCCTCTCACCTTTTAAGACCTATCCTCTCTCTCCCTTCCTCCCTGTGAGACCTAGTGGAAAAAAGACTAGTCTGAAAGCTGAAAGATGTCACTAGTCTTCCAGTAACTAACTATATAACCTTAAATAAGTCACAACCTCTCCAGTTTTTGTTTCTTCTTATGGAAAATAAAGGGGTTGGAATAAATGAGCTCTTATGCCCTTCTAGCTCTGAAATTCTATGTCTTCCTGATCTCTTGTCCTTCCTTTCTACCTCCCTTTTGGCCATCCTCCTGACCAGAAGCACCATATCTAGGAATTTTCAGAGAGTTTTTAAGGAAGAGGTATATAGATTGTTTTGTGATTAGGCTCCAGGATTAAGTAGAGACTCAGTAAGAGTCTCAGTAAGTCTCATTAAAACTGGGTTTGATATATCTGTCTCAATATCATTGATGGAGGGGGCTGAGTCACAATGAAGACTCTTGTTCTCCTCCTGTAGATATTTCTAGTATTTGACCCATCCCTGGCCATCTGAAATATCTTACTTACATAGTTCATTCCAGGCCTAAGAGTTATGTTTATGCTTTCCATTGGTGTATAGGGGTTGGGGATAACAGGAATACCCCACGGGACCCTCATAGTAAAGAGCAGAGCCATGTCATCATCATACTCAGCCTACCACATGAGGAGAGGGTGCTATCATTGCTTTACCCTTTCACTGCTCAGTTCTTCTCACTGATCAGCCTTCCTGAGGTAAGTGTTTTCTCAAACAAGTTTAGAAACATAGCAAGTTTGACAGTGGCAGTATGAGAATGTATATTTTTTTTTAAGTTTGGGCAAGTGTCCAGAACATTTTTCCATCCCATGCAAATGTTTCTGGATAGTTTCCCCTCTCATTTTTTTTAAATCAAAACTTTACTATTCTTTTTTGAACATTTTTCTTTTACGTTTATAGTATCGGCACAAGAATGACAGGAAAGTCAACAATCGACCTGTCCTAGTGCTAGTCAATGGCATGTAAGTGCTTGTGATTGGGGGCTTGAGGGGCAGGAAGAGTGGAACAGTATTTCTTAGAAAAGTGATAATCTTGGATAAGATGACTATGTTTGTCATATTTAGTGGGGTTGTCATTAGCGAAATAACAGATACAATCAGGTAGGTAGAATATTGGATAAAGTATTGGACTTGGAGTCCTCAAGATGTGAGTTCAATTCCTGCCTCAGTTGCTGGCTGTGTAATCCTCAGCAAATCAATTAACTTCTCTGTTCTTCATTTTTCTCACATGTTAAATGAAAGAATTGGACTCCGAGGTCCCTTCTAACTCTAAAACTATGATCCTTAGCATAATTCACTCCAGTAGCAATACCTAGCAGGCTTTTAACATCCATTCATTCAACAGTAATATTCCACATACATATACAGAGCATTATACTTAAAGCTACAGGGATAGACAGATGGTTACAACATGACTGCTGCCATCATAGAGTTTATAGTGTAAAAGGGGAAATAAAACATATACATAAATAACTATAATGTAGAGCAAATACAGAATATTCCGAAAGTCTTAGCGCCATTTTAAGCTTTAATTGCTTAAAACAGCACTAAGATTTTTGTAGTACCCTGATTAAATACTTTGAGATCAAGAAATATAGTGCACTATGGGATGCCAGAGAAAACAGTTTGCTTCTGATTGAGATGGAAAGGGGTGCAGGAATGCTTCGTGGAAAATGTGGCATTTGAGTTGAGCTATGAAAGAGAAGTATAATTTTAACAGGTTGAGATTTAGAGAAGGTACATTTCAGGTGGATACCTTTGGTGGTATCTCAGCAGTCTTTAGAAGGGATTGGTGTTAATTAGCTAGTCCTGTGTCATGTTGTTACAGCATTCTAAGTATCGTCAGGGTTTGAATTCCATTCCCAGCCACTTATCCAATATGGATTTCTAGACACTTAGAGAAATCTTTGGGTTTTTTCCTGGTGGTCAGGCCATTTGATTTCTTATACTAATTTCCTTGGAGGAAAAGAGCCTTAGGAAGTAGGTCCCAAATTATTCCATGTCTTTGATACTGCCAAAATGGAAGTAATAACACTGACCCTGGAAGTTGGTCTTAGAATTCCTTCTGGAAATTCTTTTCAGTTCAACAAGTATAGAGGACACCTAAAACTCCCAAGGCAGCTATTCAGGAACCTCATATTCCAGGCAAGGAGTCTGTATAGCACTCAGGAAGAAATTACACCAGAATCTAGTGACTGATTTTCAGATGCATAATAGTGAGAGCAGTCTGAGGGTTATGCTGAAGAGGGCAGCATGACATAGTGCAAAGACTCCTAGCCCAGGAGTCATTTGCCCTGGAGTCTAGTCCTGGATCTGTGAGGTACTATCTTTATAACCATGAGCAAGTCACTACACTTCTCTGAGATTTGGTGTTTCTAAGATGAGGTGAACAAGGCCAGATACTGATCTCTAAAATCACTTCCAGCTTCAGCATTCTGTGGAGGTTATGGGTCAGCCTGTCTCAAGGAGCCAGGCTCCCCCCCCCCACCCCCGCCACACACACACGCAGATGGAGATTTGGAAGAGTTACATTTCAGGTGAACGACCATTGATAGTATCTCAACATTTTTGAGAATGTATGTATATACACGTACATACATACATACATACATACATACATACATACATAAATATGTGTATATACAATTATCCCTTCCATATTGCAGGGGTTAGTGGCACAGCACCCCTGTGATCTGGAAAATATGTGTAAAATTTTTTGGCCCTCTCTTTGTACTAGAGAAGAAGTCTGAATTTTTTCTTTTTATTTTATGGGGTGTTTATAGTACCTTATTGGAAAATTTGGGTTAAGTATTTGGTCATAGGCTCTCTGTCATCTGCTGGCCATGTGTCATCTGCAGCTTCTGCAAAACTCCCCCCAAAATTCCCATTTACTTTCTTAGGCCAACGCATGATATAGCGAAACTGCATTGGGAAAAGTCACAATGTGGTAGGGATAACGTACACATACACACACACACACGCTTTTCTGTTTCTGTCTCTCTTTCTCTCTCTCTCTCTCTCTCTCTCTCTCTCTGTGTATATATATATATATATATATATATTATATATATATATATATATATATATATATATATATATGTATATGTATGTATGTATGTATGTATTGTCAGGGGACCACCAGACTCCCGTGGGGATAGGGTTTTATATGTAAAATGGATCAAGATGCATCTTTGAAGTAGTTGGTAGACTGAGTCACTGATCTCTAATACAGTGAACTTGAGACCAAATTGAAGATCCACAGAGCTCTAAAATTCCCATATCATTGCATAATTACGTAATGGGATCTAATCTTGCTGCAAACAACTTATCTGACTTCTTCAACAGGCTTTATCACCTCTAAGACTCCCTGATAAGACTTGAAGGAAAGGACAGGGGCCCCCTAATGGAGTTCAGTCTTCCAACATTTGGTCCTCTTTAAGAATGAAGAATGAACAACAACAACATGTCAATTGTGGTAGTACTGTTATGCACAGAAGTAAATTACATCAGGCACTTCAAATGCCTCTTGTAGGGAGGTGATGGGCAGTAACCATATCAGAACGAGGGAGACAGATGTATGGATCACATTCTGAAATGCAACATGTAATGATGCTGCATAGTTGTGGTGTCCTGAAGACTCCCATCCAGAAAAATTAACCTGATGAGCAGCACTTAGAGATAGTAGGACATCTGAGCAAATGCATCAGAAGAACCAAACAGTAACAGATGGGATCTGTGAGATAGTAACTACAGTTGCCAAGGAGAGGACTAGATAACTTTGAAATATAGAAGGTGAGGAAAGAACTATTAGCCACAATTTAGTCCCCATTACAATAGCACATAAAGGATGTTGTATGAACATCCACAGCTGTCAAGAGCAATTGTTCGTCAGGACCGTCTGTACAACCTCCCCACTCAACACATTAATCATAACTACTATATGCACAGCCTATCTTACATGTGCTATGGGGAAGACAAATGATGAAGTGGTCTCTGAGCCTTTGAGGAGCTTAGGGTCTAGTTTGGGAGGTACATGAAACAACAATTAATATATAAGTACTAAATCATGTGGGGTATATTATAAGTGGCATAAAAGTTCAGAAGAAAGGGAGATTGATGATAATTAGAGTAATTTAAAAAAAAAAGCTTCGTGGAGAGGTAGAAGTCCAAATGGATCTTCAGGTATGGACAGGATTTGGATAAATACAGCAAAAAGAAGAGTTGTGGGGAGGGGCGTTCCAATTGAGGAAAACAGTAAGAACAACTGCAAGAAAAGCAGGCATGAATTTAGTACATCTTTCCATGGCCAGAATGTCAAGGGCCTTGAAAAACCAAGCTTAGGAGCTTTCTTGTGAAATTGGTCCAGTATTCCCATGAAGTCTCTTGTATTACACTAGTCTGTCTGTTTTTTTTTTTTTGGTTGGGCAATGAGGGGTTAAGTGACTTGCCCAGGGTCACACAGCTAGTAAGTGTTCTGTGTCTGAGGCTGAATTTGACCTCAGGTCCTCCTGAATCCACGGCCGGTGCTCTATCCACTGCACCACCTAGCTGCCCCTATACTAGTCAGTCTTGAGGGCCTCCCTACTCAGTTTGTAAGCTGACTGTAGCTGCCACACATCCCTTTTGGGAATTCTCAGTAAGTAGAAAGTAAAATGAAACTGGTATCTATATCCTCCCCTATCAGTAACTTGTATTATAAACATGCAGAGTCGTTGAACAAGAGAGTACATCCCCACTAACCTAACCCAAAGGCTCAGTCTACTCCCAGAGCATAGTTTAATCATTTTTTTTTCTGTTCTTTTCTTTCCTTTTAGCCAGTCTTGTAAGTACATCAGGAGAGAGAGCTGGGGGGCAGGGGAATACTGTGCAAAGCCAACTCAGTTGTTACTCCAGACTTTCCTTCTCTGGAACAGGTAGAAACAAGCCCTAGTTTAAATTAACCTCTCACCAGAGCAAGTGGGACAGTCTGTAGCAAAGAAAAGGAGTACCAGAATCAGAGGACCACTCTCCCTAGAAACAAAAAATTTTAAATGTCATATTGTACTGACATTTTGACAGCTTCTTATATAATCCAAACTTTCAAGTCTCAAGTGGAAGTTGGAATAAAGTAATAAGGGGATTGCATTTCTTCCCCTATAATTGTATTGATAGGAGCCATAGCAAACATAATTTCCATATGGCTGGCAAATACAAAAATTGGGGAAGAATTGACATAAGACAGATTCAGATTTCATTCCCTTGAGTCCAATGACTGCCTTCCATGTTGCCAGGAAAGAATGGCTGAAAAGAGAGAGCCAACTGGTGCTTCTCAAAAGAGGCACATTGTACTATAACAGTCTAACAGCTGCTGGAGTACCCCTTTCCTTTCATATCCAGCAGTATGGGTGTATTATGTCCATATTTAAGTAATGAGGCTGCATTCAGTTTAGAAATGAGCACTACTTTCTACTCCCAGGGCCTCGGTTATCTTTGTCAATGGGAATCTGTATGGTGATCTGATCAATAACTACTTATATTTGCAAAGTGCTTTTTAGTCAGTGAAGTATATAGAAGTCCTCCTTACACTCCCCTTGGAAAAGAGGGTTTCATTAACCTTGCGGCTAATAGAGAAGTTGAGGCACAAAATGAGGAAGGGATCTCAATGTAAGGCTATTTATTTGGGAAAAGATGGGAGGATGGATAGGAAAATATGAACCAGTTTTTTTTTTAATTTTTATTTAGTATTTTATTTTTCCCCAATTACATGTAAAAAAATTTTTAACATTAGTTTTTTAAAACTTTGAGTCCAGATTCTCTCCCTTCCCCCCCATTGAGAAGGCAAGCAGTTCAACATGAGTTACACATGTGTAGTCATGTAAAACATTTCCATAATAATCATGTTGTGAAAGAAAACAGATCAAAAGTTCTTCAGAGCTGTCTTAGATCATTATATTGCTGAGAGTTGCTAAGTCATTCATAGCTGATCATCTTACAATATTGCTGTCACTTTGTACACTATACATTTCACTTTGCATTAGCTCATGCAAGTCTCTCCACACTTTTCTTAGAGCATCCCGCTCATCATTTCCTAATGAACAGCAGTATTCCATCAATCATGTACCACAACTTGTTCAGCCATTCCCCAATTGATGAGTAGCCCCTCAATTTCCAATTCCTTGCCACAAAAAAGAGCTGCTATAAATATTTTTGTATATATAAGTCCTTTTCCTTTTTGCTTTTTTATCTCTTTTCGGATACAGACCTACTAGTGATATTGCTAGGTCAAAGGGTATGTATGAGTTTTTAGCACTTTGGGCATCGTTCCAAATTTCTCTACAGAATGATTGAATCATTTCACAACTCCCCCAATAGTGCATTAATGCCCAATTTTCCCCACATCCCCTTCATCATTTGTCATTTTCTTTTTCTGTCCTATTAGCCAATCTAATGAGTATGAGGTACTGTCTCAGAATTGTTTTAATTTTCATTTCTCCAATCAATAGTGAGTTAGAATAGTTTTTCATATGGCTATAGATAGCTTTGGCTACTTCATCTGAAAACTGTTCCCATATTTTGATCATTTATCAATTGGGGAATGGCTCTTTTATAAATTTGACTCAGTCTCTCAGTTGGTCTCCATTACAATAGCATGTAAAGGATGTTGTATGAACATCTACAGCTGTCAAGAGCAATTACTTATCAGAACTGTCAACAGTCTTCCCACTCGACACGTTAATCACAGCCTATCTTGCATGTGCTGTGGGAAAGGCAAATGATGAAGTGGTCTCTGCCTTTGAGGAGCTTAGAGTCTAGTTAGGGAGGTACATGAAACAATATATAAATACTAAATAATGTGTTATATATTGTAAGTGGCATAAGAGGTCAGAAGAGAGGGAGATTAATGATAATTGGAGTAGTTTTTTTTTTAAAAAAAAAAGCTTCATGGAGGAGATAGAAGTCCAGATGGATCTTCAGGTATGGACATGATTTGAATAACTACAGCAGAAAGAGGAAGTGTTGTAGGGAACTGAGAAAAATTCTTTTCCGTATGGGAATCCCTAGACTATGAAGATAGGAGGATCTTCTTATCTGCAAAGGATTCCAGCTGCACAAGTATTTTCCCAGTCTGGCACAGACTAGCTGGGACCTATCTTGCCTCCAAAGGACACACAGGGAATCCATCTTGGGGTGCAAACAACAAATTATGTCAGCTGGGGTGGGGAGCTTTGTCATTGACACATTCAAGGCCTCCTGCATGCTCCAGATCTAATGTTTCTGGAAAATATTGCAACTCAGAAAGGCAAGTGCAGGGGACCCCTTAACAGCCTTTAACATTGTGAAGAAAGTACTACAGTAACTAAACTATAGTATAACTGTGACTCATTATTCATCAGAAAGCCATTAGAGTTTTGAATCCATTCCTGCAGCTGATACTCTACTCTGAGACAGTCTCTGCCCTACTTCAAGCATCATTAGTTTCTTGGCCTCTAGCTGGCCCAAGAACTAGGCCTGACAGCAGCTATTTAAAGGGTTATTTTCCTGCAGGGTGAAGGAAGAAGAGTGGATGAACATCAAAGTGGGGGATATAATAAAACTACAAAATAACAATTCTGTCACAGTGAGTACCTTATTTACCTGTAACTTAATATCTTTTGGCTTCAGTGGGCTCTATAGCTGCTTCTGTCACCCTTAATTATAGTAGCCTTGCCTTGTAGCAAAGAGGGATTAATGCACACACCTCTGAGGATACTTGGCTTCTCCCCATTTTGTTCCACAGCTTTAGCCCAAGTTTGAGGGTTTTTTTAAATTTATTTTTTTAATTTGTTTTTAGTTTTCAACATTCATTTTTACAAGATTTTCAAGTTCTAAATTTTTCTCCCTTCCCAAGATGGCATGCAATCTGATGTAGGCTATATGTGTACAATCATATTAAACAGATTTCCATATTAGTCATGTTGTAAAAGAAGAATCAGAACAAAAGGGAAAAACCACAAGAAAGGGGAAAAAAAAGAGAAAGAGAAAATAGTGTGCTTCAATTAGCATTCTGACTCCATAGTGGATAGCATTTTCCATCATGAGTGTTTTGGAATTATCTTAGATCCTTGCATTGCTGAAAAGAGCCACGTCTATCAAAGGTGGTCACACAACACACAATGTTGCTGTTACTGTGTACAATGTATGACCAGTTCTTGATGAAGCCATTCTAGGTCTGTGTGATTATTGCTTCCTCTTCTGTATGTTCCCTAGCCATAACTTTAATAATACAAGAATACAAGAATAATACAGAATTCAAGAATTCTGTCAGCAATCCAAATCAAGATCACTGGTCTACAGTGTGAACTATTTTCTTTCCATTTCCATCTCTGTCCATTTGGGATATTTGCCCTTCTCAAGTCCATTCCTATTTCACACAGTCTTTCAAATATCAGTGACAAAGTTTGAGTTTTTTATAGGGCAAGGGGAGGCAAGGAGGTGACTTTTATAGAGGATTTGGGTTGAATATGACAGGGCAAGGTCCCAGTCTAAGGAAGCTAGTAATATATATGAAGTCCTTGAGTTGCAGTCACATCTCTATCATGGCATCCTTCTGAAAACCTCACTATCATCTTTTCTCCCATTGACACTATTAGCTATATGATGTTGGTAAATTGCTTAACTTCATACAGGGTTGTTGTGAGAATCAAACAAAAACCAAATATATAAGGGTAAAACTATAAAGATCTCTACATGTGAAGGATTATTCTTGTTAGCATTATTCTTCATCTTCTTTAACTTCTCTAACTTCAGGCAGATGTGCTGTTACTCTCCAGTAGTGAGCCCAGTAGTCTGACCTACACAGAAACTGCAGAACTAGATGGGTGAGTATTCCAGCCCATGGTTAGGTTAGGTTAACAAAGCCAACAATATCAGGTATCAGTAACTCAAAACAGGTGTTTGCTTGATATGTGACAACAAGTTGCTCTTCATTAGGAAAAAATATTGTAATGTTGAAGAATAAACAGGTTGTATTTCCAGGTGCCTGGCCAAGAGAATTGTACAGAATATTCATGCTTCAGGTTAGGGGTTGGACTGAAGGCCTCTACGGCCTCTTCCTCCTTAGGTAGGATCTTGTACTCTCCTAACATGGTCTTGAAGAAGCACAGCCACCTCCACACCAAGAGGTAGTATCACAGCAGGACTTTTTTTGAAGGATGTGCAAAATGTTTTGGAAAGTTTGGAATTGTTTTCATACAGCTTAGATGTAAAAGTTTTGAGATCATTTAGAGAGTCTATATCTACAGTCCTTTAACGTTTAAAATCTTGTCCAAACTATTTCCCCAGTCCTCTCTGTGCCCATTCGGTGTTATAAAGCATCTGTAGTTTTTACTTTTATTCAGATGCCGATTAATCACTGAGCAAGGTTCCCTTTGGATTTGTGTGAAGTCACAGATATGTAAGAGTTTCAGCCTTTGAATTTGCTGAGCTTAGGAACCCTGCCGTCTTTTTCTAAGCCTCATCTCCAAGGTTCTCTGTGCTAGTTCTTCAGGATCCCTAGTCTGTCTACCTCAGTTTGAATCTAGGGACATGTAGAGAGAAACTTATTAGTGGAGTTACAACTTGAGGATCAATGCTTAGCTCTTCGGAACCATCTAAGTATACTTACTCTCAGGAAAGAGCCAAGGTTTGTTCTTCTTAGGGCAGAGGAGTATGACCCAATTCCATTTTAAATATAGCATATTTTCTGAAACCCCTATAGGTGAGTATGAGTGCATGGATGTGTGCTTCTTTTCGTTCCCTCACACACACATATATGTGTGTGTATATATATATATATGTGTGTGTATATATATGTATACATATATATACAGGTGGATAATAGCTTGTATATATATATATATATACAATTTGTCGTATGTGAATTATAAATATAATTATGTATGTATATATGTATATGTATGTATATACATATATGTATTAAAATATATGTATGTATAATTTTGACTTCAGGGAGACCAACTTGAAAGTGAAGCAAGCCTTGACTGTCACCAGTAACCTGGGAGATAACCTGGAAAAACTAACCACCTTTAAAGGTCCATTAAGAATTAGATTGCTTTTGGAAATTGTCAGGCTACTTCATCATTTCAAATTTAGGTCTTTTATATATTGGTAAAATTGTGTTCCTTGAACTGTTTGTTATTCATTTCTTTCTCTGTGTATGTGATCGATGCCACATGCAAAATTCATTCCCTCCAATATCCAGAAAGCATTGTCTTTTGTAATGGGATAAAGAATTGTGAATACTCAGAAATATGATGAGGAGAAAAGCTTGGAAAAGGGGTGGGAAATGTTTACTTTTTGTTGTTTAATCATTTTTAGTAGTGTCTGACTCTTTGTCACCCCTTTTGGAGTTTTCTTGGCCAATATATTGGAGTGGTTTGCCATTTCATTTTACCGATGAGAAAACTAAGGCAAACCGGGTTAAGTGACTTGGCCAGGGTCACACAGTGTCAGAGGTTGAATTTGAACTCAGGTCTTCCTAACTCCAGGTCTGGTACTCTTATCTACTATGTCACATAGCTACCCCAGTACATACTTAGGAAAAGAAATACTTATTTCTCTGCTGCCTGTGGGCTTAGTCTCCACATCCCAGGACATACATGTGATTTGCTCCATGAGTTTTATCTTTCTTTTATCTTTTATCTTTCTTCAGGTGAAGTCAGGTGTTAGCCTCCTAATAACAGAGTGGATGAATTCACAGGGATATTGATTCATGAGGGTGAAAAGCATGCCTTGAACAATGAGAAGGTATTGCTGAGAGGCTGCACCATTCGGAACACAGACTGGTGTTATGGCCTCGTGATTTATGCTGGTAGGTTTCACTAAACATCTTTGCCGAAGCTGTAACCTACAGGATAACATTAAAATGTGGCCAACTTTGTCAGTACTGTTTTCTTCAAATGGCAAAAACAGAGCACTTTAGCTATGCCATTCATGTGTGTCCATATGGGAGTTCTGAAATTTCTAGTGTCTTAAAAAAAACTCCCCCACATTCTAGCTATCTACATTAGAGTCATTTTGTGTTGAGCTTACAGCCCACACGTTAATCTTTTCAACTATTCCTAGATGTGTAAGGAAAAGTAAACATACTGAAGAGGCATATATAGAGAGGGGATATACAGTGTCATAAAGTGGGGGGAAGAACACACATTTGTGGCACATTCATGTGGAGAGTACATACACAGAATATTCCCACGAAGAGTATCTGACTGGGGATAATACATACGTCACCAGTATTCACAAGGAATGGGAAAGAAAGAGAATAAAGATACTGACCTCAGTTCTTTGATAGATTTGTGATCTCACTGATTTGGATAATCCAAATCATGCAAATCATAGTACATTTATACCTACCCATCCTGTTCATGTATTGTCCGTATCTCCCCTTAAATCTGCTGTAGGAGTCCACTCAACATGTTAAAGATTTGTCTCTAAAAATCTTGATATTTCATGGATACCAGTAGAATATGTGAGTTCTCTATTAGTTATCCCTTGATGTTGCTTATCTTTTTTTTTCTAGTTATACACCTCTCTGATAACATACCTTTATGTTACTTCTGTGAAATTTTTTATTTTTATAATGTTTCAGCCTTCCTAAGCTCCATGTGTTTTTCTGTTGCCCATTGAGTGATCTTTAACTTCACTTCTTTGGAAATTATCATATTTCTTGACTTTCAGCCATACATCACTGGAAGATTGGCTTAAAAAAAAAAGTGGGCATTTGTTTCCCAAGAGAAACTTGAGGTCATTTAAAGAACTTTAGTTCCCAAAGGCAATTCAGCCCACTTTCCTTTTCAATTTTGGGCCCAGTTAATTATTATCCATTTGCAGTGTTATCCATCCAACTGTATGTCATATGGGGAGAGAATACATCCAATATATGATACTGTCAGTAGCATCCTCTTCCAGGCAGAGGCAGGGATCTTCCCAGGCCATGAAGTAGTGGTAGAGAAAGGTAAGAAGCCCCTTTCTTCCCCTCAGTGCTTCATGTCAATGGGCTGACCATTGACTTCAGCTGGATAATGGGACAACTTGGACTTGTCACTTCTTTCACACAGTGGGAGCAGGCGTTGAAAGTTCCATGAGATAAAAAAGAGAATTTATTAAGAGGAAGAGTCTTCATGCCCTTCAGAGTAACATAGGTTTAGGGACCCATGTGGTCCAATACTCTTGTTTCCTTTTCTAATAGGACCCCACCTGCTGAAAAGGAGGGTAAAGTGGCTCAGTAAGACAGTTACAACCTAGGTCAAACATTTGGGACCACTTTCCTCATTGAATCTTGGTCTGCAGGGCCTTCTCCAAGGTCCCTATCTGAGAGCCAAAAAGATGTGAAATAAACATGTTCTCTACCCCAATATTCTCATTAACCAAGTAGTAATAACTTGGAAGAAGACAGAAGCAGCCTCACTGGTGTTACTGAGTCACAGTTTCTGCATCGCACTCTCATTTGGCTCTGGTTTCTGGGTTGTGAGAAGCTCTATGGAGCTTAGGAGTCTCAAATGTCAAGAAAGGAAAATGTACTTTTAATGAAGCTTTGTAAAAAAAAAAAAATCCCATGTCGGACCGTATGTTCTGATTTTTGGCTGAAAAGATATTACCACCATATTAATATAATAGAGTTTCTGTCTCTTGTTGTCTAGCATGATATTTAAATTATATCTGTCCTCCAAGGCAGGTGAAGGGAGGCATACATCTCTAAAGACCCTTTTAGGAAATTGCCTCCTACAGATCCTTAGCCACGTTTCTGTTGCAGTGCTATCTTCAGGCTAACACCTGAATGAAAAGAACAGCACTGCATGGTGGAAGTTTTGTATTCTTGGTGTTAAACCCATAGGTGTGAGGGTTTGCCCGAGCCCTTTTCATGGCTGGTTATCCACCTTTGGTGTCTACCTGATTCACTCAACTCTCCTGTGACTCCAAGAAGCTGTAGCATGCACAGTGGCCACGTCCCAGTAAACCATCTGGGCAGATGGGCCAAGCCCAGTTGAGGGTAACCAACAGGCTCAAACCTCTTGGTGAGTTAGAGGGATGTCTACCCTCAGCACATGAAGACTTTCCCCAGTGGAATAGGCAGATGAGAACAGTTTGTTCCAGCGGCCCTAAAAGTGCCTGAAGCAGGCATTGTGGAGCACTTAGAGCTTGGTCAGGCATAAAGGTCATCCACTGCATCCTGGGCCATCGCCAGTCATCTTGACTTTTGTCCTGCCACTGGATTTCAGTGACTCAGGAAGAGGGAGTGAGGCTGAAGACTTTATAGACTCACAAATCCAATTCATGCAAAAGTCAAGACATCACCCATGATGTCAGTGGTCCTCTTCAAAAACAAAAGACAACAATTCACATAATTGATGACCAGGAGGAATAGCAGTTAGATGGTGAAAGGCCAAATAAATTGCCTTCTTTTTAGATTTTTACTTTGAGTTTCCCATGTTGGCTCTTCCAGCTAGAATCCCTGGTGGATGGTTTTCAGAGGTATTTCCGTTAACCATGAAGAGTTTGCTACTAAGTTGTTCCTCACCAGAGAGGTCTTAACTCTATCACCTCTATGCTCAGCAAGCTCTTGCTCACTACTGTCAGTTCCCCCATTCTTCCCCTCCCAAACAACTTTGCTGTTATACTCCCACTCTATTTCTTCATTTATTTCGGGAAAGCTATCTCACTGGTTTAGAACCTGTGAACTGAACTGCCCTTGTAGCAGAGGATACTTCCCAAAAGTTTGTGGTTCCCATTATCAGGAAATTTTCTTACAAAAAAATGTTCAGCTCTTCTAAAAGTGCCTGTCTGTGGAAAACACCACGCTTTGAGAGCTCAAGAAAGGAAATGGAAGTTTCTATAGACATTTGTTGTTGTTCAGTCATGTCCAACTCTTCAGACCCCAGGAATCCTAGCACACTAAGCCCTTCTACCTTCCACTATCTAAAGAAAGACGTAGCAGGTACTAAACGTACAAATACAATTTCTATAGTGTGTGTTGGGGACAAGGACCTTTCTCTAGGGCCTTGTTCTCTTCCACTGCTTTTGCTTGATTCTGAATAAAACTGGTTATCCCCCAAAATATACCTGTGTTTGACCTAGGTCACGACACCAAATTAATGCAGAACAGTGGAAAGAACATCTTTAAACGGACAAGCATAGATCATCTCATGAATATCCTTGTGTTCTGGGTAAGTCAAAGAATTTTCTCTTCCCTCCTTTACAAGTAGGCAGACTTTGTGTAGGAGTAACTAATGTTTCCTGTGTATATATCAAAGAGGAAGGAAGGAGCACATTACAAACCTTACAATGCTATGTAAAGGTGTTAACATTAAGATCTTCTTAAACTTACCTCTCAGAGTTGCTGTGAAGATCAGATGAGATAATCTTTGTAAAATGCTTATTAGCACAATGCCTGGTGCATAGTAAGGGAGTGGAAGATGGAAAGGGAGTAAGTATTTATACAGCACCTATTATGTGCTGGGCACTATGCCAAGAACTTTATAAATGTTATCTCATTTGATCCTCATAGCAACTATGAGAGGTAAATTTAAGAAAAAGTTAATAGATTTATACATTACTTTAAAGTTTATAACGTGCTATCTTCAAAAAACTCCTTTGAAGTAAGTAGTACAAGTATTATTGTGCTCATTTTACAGCTAGGTCCCAATTAATGTGAATAATGAATTTTATGAGGGATCACACTGTTTGAATAATTGAAGTTATATGTACATGTAAAATATGGTCATTTATTCCAGCGCATTAGGAATATGCAATGGAAACTGTTTTAATTAGTTTTTAATTTATCAGTATAAGAGCAAAGGATAAGAAAAATGTATTTCTGATTCAAGTTTATCACAAAACAATAAAGTAGTTATAGGAAGCAAAGTTGAAAAACTTAAATTACTACGTAATCTGAAAATAAAACTTACATTGACAATATGATGACAATGTCATTATTGTCATTTATATTATGTTAGCAGCATAAACCAAACTGTCTTCTTTTCCTAAATCTTAATACATATTGGTAGTTGCAGATAGCTTTAGTCACATTTTCATTAATTTGCATATTTGCATTCTGATACTTGAACCAACTGTAGTTGGATGACCTCAGATATTATCTAAAATTATAATGCAATAAATGCAATATTGTTGTCCTTGCAATATATTTCAGACTAAAATGGCTTGAAGACCCATCTTCAAAAACTGCTTTAGTAACCTATGATTTCTTATTTTACTGCTAAAGAACTAGAAGTGTTTGATGGTTGTAGCCTCTCAGAACCCAAGGATTTGAAGACCAATAAAAAGTATGGATTTTAATTTAAAATCCTCTTCTGCATTACGTTCCAATAAAAGTGTTAGACAATCCTTAGACACTCAAAATCTAGGTTTAGTTTTTTTTCCTTCTTAGAAATGTAAGTTATAAAAAGAGTCCTTTTCCAAAATAAGACTTTCTTATACATTAAAAATTTGTTGATCAGTGTATCTATCTTCAGTTATTTTCTTCAAAACATCAGGCTGCTGTCCATCCTTAGCTTCACTGGCCATTTTTCTTGTGATTTTAGCATTATACAATTGAATTAGATTTTTAAAAATTTATTTTTTTGTTACATTTTTAGTTCCAAACTGTCTCCTTCCCTCCCCACCTCACAATAGAGGTCACCATTTGACATGTATGTATGTATGTATATGTGTATATATAATAGTATGTATGTATGTAAATAAAACCATACTATGCATACTTCTATTTATCAGTTCTTTCTCTGATGAAGATAAGCAATATAATAATATAAAGAAGATAGCATCTTCCTTCATAGGTCTTTTGTAGTTGATAAAAATATTTATAATAATAAAAATAACTTAGTTCACAGTTATTCTCTGAGCAATATTGCTGTTATTGTATATAATATTCTTTTGTTCTGATAGGTATGAGATGATATCTCAAAATTATTTTAATTTGCATTTCTCTAATCAATAATGATTTAGAGCATTTTTTCATATAATATAGATGGCTTTGATTTCTTCATCCAAAAACTGCCTGTTCATATCCTTTGACCATTTATCAATTGGGGATGGCTCATATTCTTATAAATTTGACAAAGTTCTCTAGATGTTTGAGATATGAGACCCTTATCCAAGAAACTGTCTATAAATTTTTTTCCCCAATTTTCTGCTTTCCTTCTAATTTTGGCTATGTTGGTTTTGTTTGTACAGAAGCTTTTTAAGCTAATGTAATCAAAAACATCCACTTTATATCTCACAAAGCTCTCTCTCTCCCTCTCTTGTTAATTCATAAATTCTTCTATCTATAAGTCTGATAGGTAATATGTTTTTTGTTCTTCTAGTTTACTTATATTATCTCCTTTTATATCTAGGTCATGTATCCATTCTGACTTTATCTTGATAAATGGTGTAAGATACTGGCCTATACCTACTTTTTGCCAGACTGCTTTCTACGGTTATTTCAAAGTTGTCACCACTACAACATAACATAACATCCAGGCTTTGCTTGAGGAGCTACAGTGAGGAAGAATTTACATCTTCATAAGGCAGCCTATGCTACTTTTGGATAGCTCTGTTAGGCAGTTTTTCTTGCCATAGAGTCTAAATTTCCCTCTTTTCACCTTCCACCTGTTACTCCAAGTTTTGCCTGCTGGGGCTAAAAAGGAACAAGTCTAATCTCTATGCTAGAGGATAGTACTTAAAATAGATGAAGTCATGCTGCTCCTAAGACTTCTCTCCTTCAGGCTTAACATCCCCAGTTTCTTCAACTCGTCTTCACTTGGCCTACACTCAAGGCCCATCTCTATATTGGTTGCCTTCTTTTTACTAATGCTGCTCCTCAAGTCATTCATGACCTTTTTGTTTTTAAATTCAGTGACATTTGTTTCAGTGTACATTGTCCTTGATCTCTATGCAGCATTTAGTATTGCTGACCACTCTCTTTTCTTGGATACCATGACACAGACTCATACTACTTCTATTTCTCGGATTTCCCTCTTCTCCATCATTACTCTTGGCTCTTCTACCTCTTCTGTTCCTTAAATGTCAATCCAGGGGGTGAAGCCAAGATGGCAGAGAAGAGTCAGGGACTCACCAGAGCTCTCCCCAAAAACGCTCTGAACAATTTTAAGTAATGCCTTAAAACAGATTCTGGAGCAGTAGAATCCACAAAAGGATGGGCTGAAACAATTCTCCAGCCAAAGACAACTTAGAAGGTTGGCAGGAAAGGTCTGTCACACTGGGGTCAGAGTGGAGTGCAGTTCAATTCAGGCCACACCAGTGCAGACCAGGCCTCAGCAAACCAAGAGCAGGCCTTGGGAGTGACTGAATCAGCAGCAGCACCCACCCTGCTTCCAGAGCTGTCAGCCCACACACAATAAGGGAGTCAAACAATTGGTTAGAAGGAGATTACAAGGGCCTCTTTGCTAGCACTGAAGGAGGACTCTGTAGGTTTGTCCATATTTGGATCCAAGTCCCAGTCCTGGGTGGCAGTCCCAGGGCAAAGAGGAGCAGTAGCACACCAGAGCTTGAGGTCACTCACAGACCAAAGAACAGGCCAGGAGAGGAGTAAACACACCTCTCCTTAGATCATATCATTTTGGAAAAACTGAAATCTTACAGGTCCCTAGAAGTATCTCTGAAAACATCTGCACAAAACCTCTGAAGGTTGGGACAGTGCACTCTCCACCCTGGAAGCAGAGTCCCACTTTAGCAAAGAGTTAAAAGTCAAGAAATAGTCTGGGAAAATGAGCAAACAACAGAAAAAAAAATTCTGACTATACAAAGTTACTATGGTGACAAGGAAAACCAAAACACACACTCAGAAGAAGCCAGCAAAATCAAGACTCCTACATCCAAAACCTCAAAGAAAAATATGAATTGGTCTCAGGCCAATTTTTGAGCTCAGGAAGAGCTCAAAAAGGATTTTAAAAATCAAGTAAGAGAGGTAGAGGAAAAATTGGGAAGAGAAATGAGAATAATGCAAGAAAAATCATGAAAAACACATCAACAGCTTGGTAAAGGAGGCACAAAAAGTACTGAAGAAAATAACACCTTAAAAACAGAATAGGCTGAAGGGCAGCTAGGTGGCACAGTGAATAGAGCACCAGCCTCGACATCAGGACTACCCGAGTTCAAATGTGGCCTCAAACCAAATACTTGACACTTATGAGCTCTGTGGCCCTGGGCAAGTCACTTAACCTCAATTGCCTAAAAAAAACCCCACACACAGAATAGGCCAAATGGTAAAACAAGTATAAAAATCCAACGAGAAGAGTGCTTTGAAAAGCAGAATTGGCCAAATGGAAAAAGAAGCACAAAAATTCATTGAAGAGAAGAACACCTTAAAAAGCAGAATTGGCCAAATGGAAAAGAAGGCACAAAAGCTCACTGAAGAAAATAATTCCTTAAAAATTAGAATTGAGCAAGTGGAAGCTAATGACTCCATGAGACATTAAGAAACAAAACAAAGTCCAAAGAATGAAAAAAAAATAGAAGACAGTATGAAATATCCCACTGGAAAAACAACTGACCCAGAGAATAGATCTAGGAGAGATCGTTTAGGGATTATTGGACTACCTGAAAGCCATGATTAAAAAAAAGAGCATAGACATCTTTCAAGAAATTATCAAGGAAAACTGCCCTGATATTCTGGAACGAGAGGGTAAAATAGAAATTGAAAGAATCTACTAATCACCTCCTGAAAGAGATCTCAAAATGAAAACTCCCAGGAATATTATAGCCAAATTCCAGAGCTCCCAGGTTAAGGAGAAAATATTGCAAGCAGCCAGAAAGAAATGATTCAGGTGTGATGGAGCCACAGTCAAGATAACACAAGATTTAACAGCTTCTACACAGAAGGATTGGAGGACTTGTAATATGATATCCTGGAGAACAAAGGAGCTAGGATTACAACCAAGAATCACCTACCCAGCAAAACAGAGTATAACAATCATTTAGGGGAATAAAATGGATATTCAATGAAATAGAGAACTTTCAAATATTACTGATGAAAAGACTAGGTGAAAAGAGCTAAATAGAAAAGTTTACTTTCAAATACAAGACTCAAGAGAAGCATGGAAAGGGAAATCATAAGAGACTTAATAAGGTTAAACTGTTTACATTCCTACATGGGAAGATGATACTTATAACTCATAAGAACTTTCTTATTATTAGGGCAGATAGAGTG